CCCTTTAGTGTCTATTATAATTATCGTCGTAGTGAGGCCGCTTTCTAATGCTTTCTTTATATTATACGTTATATAGGAGGTTAGATCGATAGTACTCCGGCCGGGGAGTGCGCTAAATTATTATGAATTAATAACTATATTATATACTATATGTTATATAGTACGCTACGTAAAGATGCGCTTAAGGCCCTTGCCTAGGTACAAAAGAAGCGAGATAGGCCTATATAAGCTAGAGTTAGAGAGCTTCCGCTTACTAGCCTTCCGAATGATTACTATCTCCGCTTATTTGAAAGGGGTAGGGTAGTAACCGCAGGTGAGGTAGGCCTCGAACAGGGCTCTGATAGGCTCTTGAATGTGTCCCTAGACGGTAGCTAACAATTTCGTAGTGATTTTATCCGGCCCTGGAGATGTGCTCTGCGTGAGTGTGTATTATGTAGCCTTAGTTAAGGTAACCGTGGTCCGCTAGGGTAAGATCTAGCGTAGAATAAATAATACCGAGTCTAGGTCTTTTATATTGTCGTTTAAGGTAAAGCGTTTTAGTAATATACGCCGGAAGGTATTTATTTTACCCGGGATATCCGCTATCTTTTCGCTATTAACCTCTAGGGGAGGTTCTTTGATAGCTAGGTTGGAGTTGCGCTACTTGGTGATTGAGAATAGGGCTTCTACGGACTTTGCGGTAGCTATCTTCTCCGCTTAGTAGGCGTGCTTAGTACTTTTCGAAGTGCTAAGCTATTCTAGTTGTGCTTCTCGTGTGCGGTTATAGTATGAGTAGCTTGCGCATTCTGGCGTCCACTAGGGTGCTCCGCGGCCATGTTGGCCTCCTTTAGTGCTTGTGGTATTTAAAGCCGCCCTTAGGGTGCCGATAATAGTGACGGTAGCTTTGTCTAGCTGCTCTCGTATGGCCTGTTTTGAGACGGTGGGGAGCGGCCCCTGACTTACTAGTTTAGCGAAGCGTTTGAGTAGGTGTTGTGGTACCCGTGAACGGCTCTAGAGATCCGGCTTAGGGAGCTGGGGATAAGGTAGCGTGGTGAGTATGGCCTCATGGTCAGAGCCAGCGTATAATTGCTCGTATACTTTAGCTCGGGCTAGTAGGATATTAGAGAAGGATAGGTTAATAACGTTACCTGCCCCGTTCTTGTTCTCGTATATCACTTTTCTAGCTTCTTTAATATAGGTAAGTCTATGATTCTGCGCCTATTGGGAAATAGAAGTGCCGGCTCTTTCTGACTGAATTCCAGGCTCCCAGGTTTTATGGCGGGAGTTAAAGTCCCTTATAATTAGAGAATGCTCCGGGGGTAAGTAGTTGAGTAGTGCGGTAGTAGTTAGGTTATGGGCCCTCTCGCCCGGCCGGTAGATATTAACTATGGTATAACCACGTACTTGGATCTATAGTATGTCTCTGGTTGGCGTTAGGCGTAGTTGCTGTGCTTCCAGGTGTTTGCAGACGTAAGTAAGTACCCGTGGCCGGGTGTCAGCATCGTGCTAGTGGTCTACGGGGTTGAAAACGTCGTATCCTGGGTGCGTGTTAAGCTTGGCTTGCTTTTTTCTATCGTCCAGGGCTCCTGGGTAAGTATGATATTAATACCATGCTCCTAGTAGGCCTGGAGAAGGTTGGTGTTTGCTGTAGACCCCCTATTAATATTGTACTAGGTAACTAATAGATTTGGCTTAGGGTCTATGGTTTGGGAGGCACTAGGCCTCTTCTTTGTCCAATTGCGAGAACGCGGTATGATTCTGGACGTTATAGTTAACTATCTTGGACTTTACTGCCCTTATTCTGGTGCCTAGGGGCGTTCGGATAGGGGAGATAGTGCTGTCTTCGTTCTGTATTAAAGCAAAGCGTGGTGGCCTAGCAGGTGACTTGGCGCCGTTCAGCTTATACTGGGACGCGATGCCCCGCACTTTGACGGGCGAGAAGAGCATTATAGGGGTCTGGGTAGGCTCGCCTGGCACTGGGGCGTCGTCTGCCTCGCCCATGTCTAAGTCTGCTTCGCTCCCGGCTGTAGACGAGCTGGAAGTGATAGACTGGGTAGGTTCTGGGTTGACTGTGATGGTGCTAGCGGTACTAGGGCGCTGGGGCGCTGGGGCTCTGGCTCTGATGGAGGAGGTGGAGGAGGTGGAGGGTAGGGAGAGGAGGTGCCGCGGTCCTCTGATCCGTGGGCCTGGGCCCGTCTGATCCTCTGAAGCTGGCGCTTAGTGGGGGGGACGATTCGTCCTTCTTTTAGCGCCGGCTTGGCCGGGCAGTTCTTATATGTGGCCGGGTATAGGCCATAGCAGTTGGCATACTTGGCTGGCTTAGGGCATTGGATGCTACTGGTCGTATAGTCGGTCTGGTCGCACTGAACGCAGCGGGGGGACCGAGTGTAGTAATATCCGTTGTGGTATGCGAGGTAGCCATCTATATGCTGGATGACTGGCTTCTGGCGCTATGGGAGGAGCCGCGAGCGGCCGGAACACCCAAATAGGCGGAACTCACCGGAGACCTCGTAGTCAAAGGAGATAATAAGCGTTTGGGTGTTGGAAACATAGTCAGGGCCAGGCCTGGCGATATGATAAGCCCGGGGGGGGCGAAGCCGGTCTGGGCCTTGATTTCTTTGGTAATGACGCTTCTAGCCTCCGTTTCTTGGAGCTCTGGTAAGTCACGAGTGTCGAGGTAGGCCCGCGAGACCTTAACTGGGTAGCGGGGGACGAGATAGGTCTGCTATTTCAGGGGCAGGTCGATGCTATTAGCGTTGAGATAGTGCTGTAGTTGTTGTTTTTTCTGGAGGAGCTTTTGCTTAACTTCTTCCGAGCTGGGGCGTATGGAGAGGCTTGTGGCGGTGTGTTTGACGTCCGTAATGTTTGATAGGGGTAGGCTGAGGACCTGCGAGATGGCCTGTTTAAGTGAGAAGGAGTTGTGTAGTCGGGTTTTAGGGAGCCGTTCGGTTCCGACGCGGGCCAGGAGCCGGAGATCCGGGCCCGAGGCTGGTTGGCGTAGGCCACTTATGGGCCGGGGCATATTAGCTGGTCGGCCCTGGGCGGCCGTACTGGCGTAGGTCATACGTGTCCCTTCGGGTCTGGGTCGGCCCGGACCTGGGGAGAGGTAGGAAGTGAAGCTCAGGATAATAGACCGCGCGAACGGCTTCAGCTCCTCGTTGCAGGAGGTGACGATGTTATCTAGCGTAGCGGCTAGGAGACGGTATACTGCGTCGTATTTGGATTGGGCCGTGTTGGCGCGTTGTAGTGCCGCGGCGGTAGTGGTGGTAGGTGCTTCGTTTCCCTGCGAGGTACGAGGACGGGTTAGGAGGGGCGCTATTAGGCGCTGCGTCGGCGCGCGTGGGCGCGAAAGAGTCAAGAAAGGGTCCGGTGGCGAGCTGACGGCATGGTGAGAGCCTGCGAGGTCTTTCTGAGGTCGCGCAGGCAGCGCGCCCGCGTCTGGCTGCGAGGCCATCGCGGGCGACGAATTGGTGGCTTTGGGTGTAGAAAGTGGTGTTAGTGGGTGGGTGTAGGCCCCGGCAAGACACTAACAGTGGGTGTCTCACTCGGGTGGTGCGTGCGGGAAGTGCCGGCAGCTTGGTGTCGGCGCGTCCAATGGCCTAATAGGGAAGGAGATGCCGCCGGATCTTGGCTGGCTAGTCTTGCCGATACCGTCGGTTGCCGCGAGTCGAAAGTGTGATGCGTACTTGGTCTTTTGGCTTTGAGGAGTCGGCACATGCACTCGGGATATGGATAGGTGATCGCTCTACCGAGTCTGGAACAACTGCGTAACAACCCCCCTCTTATCAGCCTACGAATACCTTGGTTGTGAACAACTATTTAAAACTCCACCTCGAGCATTTGGTACATGTCCTACTACGTCGTGCAAATCCCAAAGGCCCTTCAAAGTCCGACCCCCCTTTAGTCACTTTGAACCAGGATAAATTCGGCAGGTCGACCCGCGCTCAGCATACATCCTAGTCATGGCACCGCCCGTCGGAAGCTCCGATCATGTCCCCTCCCCCGGAAACGCCTTCTCGCCAAGTGGAGTCGCTGTGCCACCCATGCGCATGCCGCATCTCGACTTCATCTATCGTATCGTCTGCGATATGGATCCCAACGTGTCCGAAATTGCAAACGTCGATAACACGGGCGTCACCCGTCTCGTTCTGCCTATCTTGAGCGGGTCAGTCAAAGGCCCCAGGATTACGGGCAAGATTGTGGAGAGAAGTGGTGCAGACTGGGCGGAGCGCATCAGCCCTGACAAGGTTGGCACAGTTCAAGCAAGTTACCCATCAACTGAGATTCATACGGCTTACCGCTATCTAGGTGTTCTCAAGGTTGCACGCCATGTATACTCTTCAGACCGATGATGGTATCTTCGTTCTCGTCAACGCGCAGGGTGTTTTCCGCACTGGCCCTGGTCAAACAGAAAAGCTACCGCCCTCAGTATGCCAGGATGATGTTGAATATTTTACGCACATCAAGTTTGAAGCACCAGGGGGAAGCCCCTACGACTGGATGAACGCCGTGGTCGCACTCGGGGTAATGACCATGTTTGAGGGGCGCCCGATCATTGACTGCTATCGACTCACGAACTTCCCCGGTGTAGCAGCGGAGAAGCTTTGAGGAGGATAGGGGACAGATTATCAGATATCGTCACTGGATGTTTCCAGAAAGTAAGCAAGGCTTTCAAGTTAGCTCGTATATAGCTGCGAACATTGCAAGACACTGGTTCGATCACGATAAACCCGGCCAAGTTGAGCAATATCGAAACCGCGTATGTGTTTGATCATTGATGACTACTAGCAAGACGGAGCCTGAGTTCCCGCCATAAGAAATGATGCCGCATGTCGTAAATAAAAACGAATGTAACTCAGGTTGGCAAAATGAGAGTACATGTACCCAGCACACTGAATTTGCATATGCCTCTCCACAAGTCGCAAATATCGAGGAGCCAGAGCAGTTCGAATGCGCTTGCCCCAGATGATCATGGGAACGTACAAAAGACCGATGAGAAGAGAAATAACGCCGCTCAGAATTTACATGTTGGTAAGGCCCATGTTTGACATCCAAGGCACAAGCGCCGAAGGAACACCCACGCTGACAGCATTGCGAACAAATATAATACCAACAAAGGCTTCGGCAGTCAGCTGCGAAACGACATGTTAGTCAAAGCCATTCGATGGACGATCAATAGATTTACCTAACCCTAAGTATCAATAACAAATGTGAAGGTGATATCCCCGTTTGCACCGAGGCCAAACGCGAACAATGCACCGCCCATGCTAGGGAAGATCCAATGCATTCCCTAGAGCTATTAGTCCCACCAACGCGATAGTGCAACATAAAATATCAGGGGGAAAGTGACTTAATCGATCCGCAGTGACTCCAAACATGACAATACCACCAGCCATTGTGATCACGGGTAGAAATAAGGGATACAAGCGCATTTCTGGCTCGAAAACTCCTCCATTCCTCTTCGCCAAGCGTAATACAGTCCAGTCCGCTAAAGGTCCCCCGTAAATGCTGCCGAAAATATTTCCAACAAAAGGTCCGAGGTTCATGTATCCAATTGCTGCAGTATTGAAGTTGTAGGGGGGCGCAGAAAAGACGACGGACACGACGGACATAAACAGAACGAGCCAGCAAACTGAAGAGCAGTGAACATGACATGTGGAAGAGTGATGACATGGAGTGGTAAGATGAAAATACGCAGTAAGGATTCCGAGGTCGGTGTTAACAACCGCATGCGTTCGCGGTAAGAATCCAGTCGAACATCTGTGGCGGAATTGGACTGCATGTAGTTCAGCTCCAGACCGCCTTTATCAAAGCTTTTAACCTTTTCCATGTTGTTCTCGTCGTGCGGTGGGTTATTTTCTGTGATCTTGCCTTCGCCGATGGTAACGGGAACATATTTTGTCTCTTCGTACAAGAACACGAACATGAAGAAGAGAACAGTCAGAGAGATAGAGAGGGCGTAGTATGACCAGCACCACCCCTGAGTCACGGCCTGGGAGCCGGCACCCAAAGGAGTCAAAAAGCTTCCTGCCATTACGGCAGTAAAATAAAGACCGTTGGCAGAGCCTCGCTGGTGGACGAAGAAAATATCGGCAATCTGTTGCAGAAAGAAACATTAGCGACAATGCGAGATAGGATTAGGGCACCCTGAGAGATATTACAGTCATCTGCACCGCGGTCTCGTTGATTGCGCCGCTAAGGCCGGTGATGACGGCTGTGGCGAGGAGTTCTGCGTACGAGTGCATCGATGAAGTCCACCACGCTGCTGCTGCGAGGATAGCTGTGGAAACCAAGTATGTCAGGCTGCGACCATACTTGATGGTAAACGGGATGAAGAAAATGCAGCCTGTGGCAAGACCTGCAAGCTTGGCGGACTGTGCGTTACTGAGTTGGTTGATAGACACATCAAGATCAACAGTCATTTGTTGCCAGAAGACGGTCTGGATCGAGAGGCTGTGGCGAAAGCAGCCATATCGTAAGCTAAGGAATAGACTCGGAAAACTGATCTCATTTCAACGAACTTGGTGAAAGCAGCCACGGTAACGCCCATAGCAAGACTGTAGTTAAGATACTTTCTCCATTTACTCCAGTTCTATGTCACACAGAAGGCTTAGCGGATATAATTTACGAAGCAAACAGAAGAAGCCATACCAGTGGGTCGTTTGGGTCTGACGGGGTTGGGGAGAGAACGAATGTTGGGGATTCGGTTGCCTCCTCGTCTAGGATTAGAATGTATAAGTCAGCAAAAGACCACAGCAACCTCCGCTAAGAGCCATACAATTGATCAAGTGAACAGTTCCTGGAGGAAGGAGTGGATGTTGAGCCATTGTTGCTGCTGGGCTGTCCATCGTGGACTCCCTGTGTAAACGGTGAGGCGAGAGGTAAAAATATCACGAGCAATAGGGGGCTCGTGGAATAGATATTGTGAGGTGTTGTCGAGTTTAGGTACCAGCCCAGAATAAAGTCAACTTCGAATCGAATCCAGCGATGAGTCGAGCAGGCGCTCGGTATTTATACAAATATGAATGCAACTTGAACTTTACAGGAGACTTCTATGTTGGCCTGGATACCACTCAAAGTCGTGTGCCAGCTGTGCATTTTGGCGCGTGCTACGATAAGCCATGCGCCCAGGTTAACCCTTTCCAGCCATACAAGACTAAGGCATCAGCACCGTGTTTAGATCAGGATAATAATCGTCGGGAGCCCTGGTCGCAATCGAAGACCATAAAGACCATGGCGAGAACTACCAGTACCAATATGATAACACGACTGGGGACTTGATTGCAGTCCATGTAAGGTATAATCAGCAAGTCTGACGAGGGCTCAGTGCCATACGGAGTACATTGGCAAGCGATATCCCTGCTGGATCCTCGTCACTTTCTTTCCGAGGGCATTCCGCATGGATAACAAAGAACTCTATTCGTCTTAGCAGCCTCGCCCCCGCATTTTGTGAACCTGCGACATGATTGCTTGGGCCCCAGAATTGAGCGTCTGAGCCATGCCCTATTCGGCATATATATGCGCTCGCGGCCCCGTCCGCCTCTCCTGGGAAGCTGAAATCTCATTTCTTCATTCATCGTCGGCAAGGTCGGCCATTTCGAGAACTCCCCTGAGCAGCCAATTCCAACGCTTGAACCAGATAACGATTACGTCGACCTCATCCGCTGGCCATCAGCACCTAGTTCACCGATGGTTCGCTCTAGGGGAGGATGCTCCAATTGTAAGAGGCGGAAACGGAATTGCGATGAGACGCGCCCAGATTGCCGAGCCTGCCAAAGGCGTGGCATCCAGTGCAAGGGCTACAACACCACACTGAAGTGGACCAACGGAATAGCTTCGCGGGGTCGGTTTGCTGGGGCCGCAATCCCTGACCTTGCCGCGAACAAAGCGAGCGCCAACTCAGCTACTTTTGATAGCTATCTGCAGAACGCCGGAGATCCACCACACCGCGCTGGATCACCCTCAGCATCTCCCGGAGCCGATATATCGATTCGGCCCGGGGCCGCTCAGAACTCAGACACACCGGGATCGCACTCTGACATCTCATCCTTGGCACCATCGCCGGGCGGCACTAATGACCCGAAACGGCAGCTCTTCCAGAAGTGTAAGTCAGGAATTCGCCGCTTGGCTCTGTCCACATACTCGAGTACTGACCATGTCACAAGTTCTCAATGCGGGGATGCACCGACTCTACACCACTGAGAGCTCTGGTTGGATGAAATCTCACTTCGCCTCAATGGCAGAGAAAAGCCAAGCATTTGCTATTGTTTGTGGGCCCATCCAAGCCTACCTGGACGACGGCTTTTCGGTCTCGTCGATGGAATACGTCGACCACGCGCTCCAAACTTTCCGATCGGAACTACAAAGCCGACACAGCTCTTTCGATGGATCCACCGACTCTGCTGGCCTGCTTCTCTGCAGTCTGTGTAAGTCTTGAATACATCAGCACACCTTCACCATATGCGAACCGGCTCTCTATATTTCGCGCGTACAAAAGTCTCTATTCTGGTATCCATTATTACTGACTCGCAACGTTTATGTAGCTGCTTCAAGCTCGTCCTTGGACGATGTATCTTCAGCTCATGGCCGGCTTGTACTATTTAGAGACTAACTTGAGCCATCTGGTACCCTCGGCCTCCCATGACTTCACCATCCGGCACTCCATCGAAGTTTGGTCTATCATGGACATGGATATCATGGTGATTGGACGAATAACACCGAGCATGAATATCTGGCGCAACTTACGAAAAGTCCAAGATTCCTGGGAAGGTGGTAGGCTCGGTGGAGTCGAGACCGTATCGGGACTGCCCAGGTCGCTACTGGACATTCTCGCTGATATGAGGGAAAACAGCGAGAGAGACATAGAATACCAGCTCTGGTCTTGGCCGGGAGAGATTGGTGAGCACGCCCAATGTATGCTTTGGGACTGTTGGCGGTACACAGCCGTCTTGCATGCGAGGCGATTGAACCGATGCAGAAAGAATAAGGCACCATCGGATAGTGAGGGTGGGCTGGGACCTAAATCAGATGACCTTTCACCGTTCCCGTCAAGGGAAGTCATCATGTGTCGTTTGACGGCATCGGTTTACGCACTCTACAGGGCAGTTCAAATGCCTGCAAACCACCATCTTTTAGTTCACAACGGGCTTATGTACCCTTTAGTGATAGGCAGTCTGGAAGTACCTATCCTGAATACTCATCCAGAGTGGAAGCAGGTTTTCAACGATGTACGGTCATCGTTTTTGAGGAAAGACTCATTTCGTCTCATAAACATGGTTGATGAGGTCATCGAAGAAGCATGGAGGGAAGAGACTGATACATTCAACATAGAGGAAGCTGCCAAGGCTCGAGGTAATGAGATCGCAGTCTTTTAACGTGTTCATGATAATAGGACGTGGACAGGAAGAAATTGCTCGCCTAAGGTGGCACTTCTGAGATTTTACCTCTTTCGACACTCACTTGTGCAGTGAATTTGCCTGTCGCTCTTCGTCCGTCCATCTAAGACATGGAGGTCGGGGTTGATTGACATGATGGGCGCAGAAGACAAGATATTCAAGTAACGCCCACTCTACCATGTTCCAGGACTGTCGCTGCCATTAATCTAATGGTTACTTGACATCATATAATTACCTTAAGAGAGCTTTGTTTAACCTTTTTCACAAGTTCATTCAATTGGTTCAAGAAAAAGACTCGAACTACACAAAAAGACGTCTACTGACGCAGTCTACCGCCGTGAAGATTATTTAGAACCAATAAGGTATAATGGCCTATGTATTGAAGAATGATAGTGATCACTAGAAGGTCGGATGAAAGCAATCGGACACCTCGAAAACACCAATCAGTCAGATTCGAGACTTAAATTGGAAGCGAATAGACTAAGTCCATGGAATTCTCTATTGAGAATGTTTACGTTGATTACCTAGGTGTTGTAAGGTAAGTGCTGGTATAATAATGAGATTAGGAACTTCAGTCTGTAACAACGGGGTTATCTTGTGTGGGCAGTACACACTGCTCATCTGGATCAACGAGGCAAGCAATGAGGCAATACGACTGGTATTGTTGGTTGGTTGGTGATGTTGTGGTGAAGGTGAAAGGTGGCTGCGGTGGGCTGGATCAACCAGGAAGTGGATCGGGCAGCTGGTGCCTGGGGCACCAGCTACTGCCTCAGGTATCCACAGTCCCACATCTTGTTTCGTCCGTAAGAATAAGTCTAGCTTGAGACTTTACTCTTTCGAACATGGGTCAACGAAATACTCAGGCATGTATTGTCACGACTCGGCGGTTCACCCACCAACACCATTCGTATTATGGATCATGGTCTTAAGGAGGAGATGATGATTACTAGTAGCATCATTTACCTTCCTAAGTTTTTTCAGTCACATGAGACAAAGCAGTCACGAGTGATGACTTCCGGCTGCTGACTGTGCACATTACGTGTAAGTAACGCAAAGTAAGTCTTTCTTTCCAATATAATAGGGGCCCATACATATAGTTAATCCGACACGAGGCTCCAAGCATACTTTATACCCTACTACACAGGATCATATACAGGTAGAACTTAGTGGCATTATGTGGAGGCAATACTACTGTATTGGATCTGATGATGATGAAGGGAAAAGCTGAGCGCTGGCTGGGCTGGATATCTGGGCAAGGTATAGGTGGGGCAGCTCCGAGATGTGAAGGAGCTGCCTCACGTGACCCACCTGCACCTGCCACACATTATGTACCTACAAAAATAGCAGAGAAACATAAAAACAGCTCACCGGATACTACTTTACAAACTCACAGGGTATAATGCGCCGTAACTATCCTATCTTCATCAATTTAGCGCTAGAAGTCTTCAAAATAACTTTTCTATCAATCTCTAGACTTTACAACGCTCAAGGCTGGGTTTGCTACCCATCTGACCTAAATCATAGAGTGACGTAGCGAAAAGTCCACGAGAACAAGTTTGCTGGGTTAACGACTCTAGGCTGGCTCTCATTTCGTAAGTAGAAGAGTCCAACGTCAGAAGTCTACGGATAGATTAGCACCGCTCATCAAGATTACAAGTTCGCAGGCGAGACCGGCGTAGATTACCATCTCATCTAGACCCACGCAGCATAAGGAGAACAGATATGTCCTATGTGCAAGCTCAAAGTTGAGGGGTTCTGGCGTTTTGGAGAAACTTTGCTTCACGTGAATGCTAGTTGCCCGCTGGCGATTCATTTTGTCCACGTAGTCAACAACACATATCATTTTCAGCTTTGTCTATTCTTCCGAATTAAGACTGAAAACTCCTGCGGGTTTGATGTGGCATCGTAATTGCCTAGCCGAAACATCGATTCCTCCTCGCTTTGGAACAAATAACATGTCGTAGGGTACATGGCGTTAATTGCTGCCCGTAATTAACGGCGTCGTTTTTGCGACATAACACAAGGGTCGCTTTCATTTGTTTGGATCTTCAGGGAGCTGGGAGCCCTTGAACATAACGAAAGACCTTTGAAAATGAAGCACATGCACATGCCGATAGGCTCATAAACTGCGTAGCCACAGTGCTTTGTCGCATGTATCGATATGATTCAAATTGTATTTCACGTGAGTCACATGTGCGGAGATACATCGAACGTCTGTTTCATTCGAAGTCAGGTCTTTCTACAAAGCCCACTTCGGCGTTATCGGCATCGTGGTGTCTTGGCTAAACAGACATCAGCTAGGTAAGCACTTGTCGATCGTCTGTGATCGTGGGCATGAAATTTCGGCGCCGGAACCTGTAGTCATTGCAACGATCAGTCGGACTGTTTGCACACAACATGCTTACAATGTTACCGCTACGATCTTCATGCTCATACTTACTCCTGTGGATGAGCGATGTTGCAGTCGTGCAGTCCTGATGCGAGGATCTTGCGAGGGAGAACTCAAACCTCAGCTCACGCAGATCAACAAGACTAAGACCTGCCCGCCTAATTGCAAAGCCTTCGGCATGCAGTACGCAATAGTGATCGACAGAGCCAGTCTTGCAAACAGCGCGCGCACTTCATCTCGGCGGTTGGTGACTGCAGGGAGAAGTTCTGAGCAGTTCTCCTTTACGTTTAGTACGAGGATTGTGGAGAGTTCCAAATCCATCGGGCATCATCAATTTTACTGTTGGTCAGAGCTAGGGGACATCCGCCGAGCATCACAGTGGCTAAACATAGGATTATGGGAGCACTACGTAGTAGGAATGATCAATCGAAATAAAGGTAGATCAGCGGGGGCGGCACGCTTCTGGGGCGATGAAGTCTCGGGGCAATCGGAGTCCCGAAAGCAGATTAGAACGTGGAGTCGTGCCTTGTTTAGGTTAATTAGCCCCGGCAGGTAACGCTCGTATTAATATCGAGGTTACATAAACTGCGTCATGCGCCTGGAGTCCAAGCCCACTGCCCCAGAAGTGAGACCGCATGCGACCCTGAATACGAGCGTCTTGCCTCGATGGATTGGAGGATTTATTGTGCAGTGGTCTCATAAGTCATCATCCCAACGAATAGGAGCTTAGGGCAGGACTATCAAGCGCATGCATATGCTTCCAAACTATGTATGACAGATGGGTTGAGCCCGCTAAACCGCTAAATTGGGAGTGTATACGGAGTAAGCAATTAAGCAATCAAAGTGGCCGGATGGCAGGTCCTTGTGATCGCATATGAACCTCTTGGATGGGCTATGTCACATTGCTGGTTCACATCCGCACTAATCTGTTGTCATGATGGATTATGGAACGAGGGATTGAAGGGAGTGACTGGGAACTAAGCGAGAGTCCATGGTCCATCGGCACCTTGAGAGGAAATACGATGGCAACGTCACTTTTTGAATCGTTCGAGTATCCACGAACTTGTTGACCTACCATTGGCCTGCCACCTTTGCTGGTATGTATGTGGCCTCCAGTGATGTATCCTTGACTCTAGACTACTAGTAGTATAAATCCCTCCGTCCGCCATCATCTCGAATGGATTCTAAACTCGACGCAAGACACCATAAGAGAAAACATAAGCATCCAGATAAAAACAACCATTCTCCTCTCAACTTCATATACAATCTGAATACTTTCCTCAAGACCTTGTCATAATGCAGATCACCAACTATCTCCTCGCCGCCCTGGCTGCTGCCACTGCCGTCTCCGGCTCCCCCATCACGAAGCGTGAGGTCAAGTCCATGATGGCTGCTGGTGCCGCTGAATGGACCATTGAAACCTTCACCCGTACCTGCAATGCCGAGGATACCTCATGCGACTACAGCTTCAACATCAACACCCACACTGCAGACCCTACCTCCTGCAAGTTCACAACTACCGGCGCACCTGCAAGCCGTGCTGCCTCAAACGCCAAATGCGGAGCTTTCACTGTTACCTCCGGTTGGAGCGGACAGTTCGGCCCGGATGCGGGATTCACAACCTTCTCTGTCACGGACCAGAAGCTTATTGTTTGGCCCGCTTACACCGACAAGCAGCTGGTCAACGGCCAGGTGGTAAACCCCGACCAAAGCTACGCTCCCCAGAACTTGCCTTAATCGGGTCATTTCAGCACGCTACGGCAGAGCATCAAGATACAAGTTATGAGAATACAACTTAATCCAATGTCTGAATCCACTACAATTTCATGTTCAGAAGCTACAATTCATGAGTGCATACGTAACTTCAACCTCATGTGGTCACAAGCCGCTTTCCTGTGCAGTGATGATGGCGAGAGGATGGGAAGACGAGGATTAAATCGCCTGCCCGGCAACCTCAATGAAAGGCAACTTCCCCATTTGTGACAGGGTCACTCACTTTGCGGCTCGTAAGGGACCTAGTTCGAAGTACATTGCCTCGTCAATCCTGAAGAGTAATCAGCATTACAACTTTCCGCTGTCGCAAGAGGCATGAGGGTAACTGAAGGATATTTTGCAGGCTTTCTTGGAAGCAGGTGTCACCAGATGTCAGCAAATGGAATGCCCCGAGCGTCGTCGCGATAAAAAGAAATGCAGTCTGCGTATCTACATGTAGATTCCTAACGCGGAGAAATAATTGTTCTTAGGTAATTATCTTTTCTCTTAGTCCTTTTCTAGGTAGTGCCATATCTCGGCCCAACTAGCTTGAAGCAGGTCAGCAAGCTGCAGGGCACAGCTGCAGGGAACGGAGTATTAACTCAAACAACAGTCATCTTTATAGCCGAGCGAGCAGGATCTCGCTCTTGAAGAAGTAGTTAAATCGCTGACGATGAACGCAAGGCCGTAAGTACACTCGTAAAGTTTCGACCAAGGTACTTGTTGGTTTGCGTGTACCACAGGTTAGTCACACAGGTATTCCTGGTATCGCGATCGGTAGCAATATCGTTGGGTTAATCTGGTGTTCTTGTTGTTGTTATTGTTGTTAAGGAGAGTATCTAAACGCGAAGGCTCGTGATATGGAAGGAGGGAGCTGAGGTGTGTCACGTGCCGAAGACACGTGACATAGCTCGGCTCCGTGTATACCTAGCGATTGCCGTTTATTCCCACAGTACTTAATATCGAACACATACCTCGAAAGGTACCCATTGTTAGTAATTGTTAAGGTTATAGAGGGCTACGGCCCACTGCACTATCATCTCTCAACATCAGCCCATACGAGCTGAATTCCACGACCATGGCGGTCTCCCTAGATATAGGGCCATCGATCACGGTTCACGAGGACGCCGGTATATCTCGGCGGTCGGGACGAGTCCGGAAGCCGACAGCAAAGGTCAGAGTGGTTGAGCAGGTTAACCACCAGGACAACTCTGAGCTTAAAGACGAGATCAACAAGCTTTCGAATCTTGTCCAGGACCTCCTACGTCGGGACGCCGAGAGGGAAATTTTTTTGAAAGACTGTTTGACGAAGATCGAATCCTTGGAGAGAGAACTTTAGGAGGAGAAACAGCGTTCAAACCGGCATTAACGTGGTCTAGTAAGGTCTATGTACGCTATTGGTACAGGGCCTAGCGAGACTGACCTGAGTTCCCAGGGGCATCCCTCGCATATAACCCAGAACTAGCCGCCCCTAGTCCGTTCATACGCGGCGGCGGCGAGCCAGCCACTGTCCAGAAGACAGGATGAACCAACGCCAGCTAAACAAGGTGCAAAATAAGCTATAAACCGGGCGGCCTTAAAGGATCTATGCGTCTTCGCGCGTCTATCGCCTGAAAGCCCGCTTCGGAACGAGAAAGCCTATGATATATATATCTTTGTTCGGGAAAGGCTAAGTCCCCAAGCCCGAGAAGCCCTCAAGGGGATCGACTATGTTAAGATAGGATTAGCACTCCTACCTTCGTCAATGGATGGTACAAAAGTCCTGCTAGAGAACAGAGAATAGATCGCTGCCCTTCTCCAAGCGCAAGCGATCGAGCAACGCGATACCTGGATCCGAGCCTATATCGTAAACGTCCCTTACACCAGGCATTATCTGGTAACCAACACTGAGCTGGAAATCACGACCGAGGAGCTCCTTGAAGAGATCCAGGTCTCGACGAAACTCAAGCCTGAAAAAGCACACTTCTCTAGGAAGGACGAAGTCGAAAGGCTAGGCACGGTGATAGCCTGGTTCAAGGCGGAAGCCGTAAGGTAACTACTAAGACGCCTCCGTTTGATGGGGGCCAGCGTTTTTGTAAACCTGCAGTTCCCGAAGGAGAAGAGGTCTCCTTAATGTCTCCGCTGCGGCGGTTTTCACAGCGAACGAACGTGCACTAGAAGGAAGAGATGCCTCAAGTGCAGCTCTCCTTCCCACACAACTGATCAACACCGGGCACCCTGCGGCGGCACTGAGGGCCACGATGGCTGCGACTGCCCCTTTAAATGCCCGTCGTGTAACGGGCCTCACGCCGCCTTCGATGCGACTTGCCCTATCCAACCCAAAGTGGTGAAGGGGGTAGTCCAGAGGAGGGATAAGGCTCAGCTACGGGCCATCCGAGCTGAGGGGGAAAGATTGTGGAGAAATACGACCCAGCAGTCGCATCGACATTCCCGTAAAGAAGAACAAGCGATGGACTATACCCCGGCGAATAAAACACAAAAAAAGAATATAACCCTCTAAAACCCTACAAATCATGCAAGCAAATATGGGCAGGCGGGCATCCGCCCACGAAACAGCACTAAACCTAGCTTACGCAGCCCAGATCGATATACTCCTAATACAAGAGCCGTCTATCCGCTCGGAGGAGAGGAGGCTCACAAGACACCACCCAGGTTTTGAGACTTTCACCCCAGTAGATAACTAGACCGAAGACCGTCCCAGGGTACTTACCTACCTCCGCAGAGGAACTAGGGTACGAGGCGTATAAACACGGCCTCTACCCGATCCATCCACAGACCTGCTCTTCTTACGACTCCTCTCAGGAACGAAGGAGGTCCTCACAGTTATCAACGTATACAACGCCCCTCGTGGCTCTCTGCGATCTGGCCAGGCTCTCAGGAACATCCTAGCGGCCTGGCAACCCAAACCTGAGGATCGAGTACTGATTGCGGGGGATTTTGACTTACACCATTGGACGTGGCAGCCCGAGGCCACGAGTTCCCCGGACGCTGAAAACCTAGTAGAATGGGCAGAAGCCGCTAGCCTTGTCCTAATGTCACCTATAGGTGAACCCACGCACAAAGGCGGCAACACCCTAGATTTATGCTGGGCGTCCAGCAACCTCCATGGGGCTTCCACCAGCATAGAAACGTCACTACACACGACACCAGACCACGAATCTCTGCTTACCCGGGTCCCCTTGGCCCTGATCGATTCACCCAGCCAGACCCCGGGAAGGTTTCGGCTCGATACGATGGACGAGGAGCTTTTCCTCGGCATCATTAAACGTAACTTACAACCCATGCGCCGCACTACAAGCAACATCCAAGACCCACAGTCTTTAGATCTCCTAGCACAACAGCTTACGGACTGTCTTATTAAAGCACTTACGGCTTCCACAAAGCGCACGCTCGGGAAAGGTACAGGGAGACCATACTGGAGCGAGAGCTGCACACGTAAACACCGAGCCTATGCGAGTAAGCGAGCGATGTTAGCAAGACTCCGCATAGCCGGAGTGAACTGCCAATGGGAAGAAGAGGAGGTCGAAGCTCTAAAACAGGACTTCCTCTACGAGTTTAAACGCTCCAAGGATGCCTTTTGGAAAGATAAGATCTCCTCAGCCTCCTCAAGCAAAGACATATTTGAAATGGTCGGTTGGCACAAAGCCACAGGATCCTTTCAGACCCCGCTACTCCGAGATGTAGACAACCAAGACACGCTTGTCTCACAACCAAAAGAGAAGCGCGACTTATTTACCCGCGTCCTCCTTAGAAACGCTGCAATCTCCGAGGACATACCAACAGAAAGCCCAGTCTTACAAAGGCAAGCTACGCTTCCTTTCCCGCAGGTTACGAAGGACGAGGTACGGTCTTCGGTTCTCACCGCGGGAAACACGACTCCTGAGACCGACGGAATCACTACGACTGCTTTGAAAATAGCATGGCCAGTGATCGAGGATATTGTCCTCTTACTTTATAGCGGGTGTATACGCGAGGGTTAGCATCCTACTTATTTTAAAGAAGCAACTCTCGTGATCCTAGCAAAACCGGGAAAAAGAGATAAGACACTCCCGCGCTCCTATAGGCCAATTGCGCTCTTGGCCGTCCTCGGAAAAGGCTTGGAGAGACTTATCGCTAGACGACTTGCCTGGATCGCAGTTAAACATCGTGTTCTGCACGACCAACAGTTTGGAGCACTCCCTCTTTGCTCTTATAGCGACCTTATCGCAGCGGCCATCCACGATATCGAGTTCGCCTGGCAAAGAGGCCTGGTTACCTCTATACTTACGCTCGATATAAAAGGGGCTTTCGACGCCGTGCTCCCAGGACGACTGGTCCGACGCCTCTACGAACAAGGATGGCCGGAGAACCTCGTACGCTAGGTCTTAAGCTTTGTTACCGGAAGGAGAGCAAGAATAAGACTTGATGGGGAGGTAGGAGACGTCTTTGGTCTCGAATGCGGACTACCATAAGGCTCACCCGTGTCTCCTATTCTGTTTATACTCTATATCGAACCTCTTTTTAAGCTAGGTATAGCTCGCTTAGGAAGGAAGCGATCTCGTTTCGGCTATGCCGATAACGTTACTATCTTAGTAAGCTTAACATCACTAGAGAATAACTATAATATTCTAACTAAGGAATAAAAAAAAACCTTAGGATAGGGCGCGACGGAAGGAATCACTTTTGACCTTGATAAATCCGAATTAATCCACTTTATTAAAAGACGAAAAGACGGAAACCTATTAATGATAGTAAGTTTACTAGATAGGAGGCATTATATAGTTTAGGCTATTAAAGAAGGCTCTTCTCTACGCTGGCTCGGCGTTCACTTCGACCGTAATGTTACGCCCGCCGCAACTTGTCACTGTGGGCGCGTAGCTATATATGCAGAACAAGGGACAATGATGCCGGAGTCATCATTATCGAAGCTTTTGCTTTGTGCCACAGTTGGTTGCCTTGTCCAGCTCGTAACACGTAAACTTATATTTAAGAGTTACGTAAGAAACCTCTTTATAAAAGTATACTAAGTAGTTAATAGACTACGGGGACTAGGGAATACTATCTAGGGCGCGCCTACGTACTTACTTCATCGAGCAATCACCTCTTATATATTACCTACTTAGTACTATATATCTAAAGTATGGTAGCCCGGCAAGAGCCGGATAAAGAATGGACGTACTATCTTAAACGGCGTTAATAGTCTACTATACCAACTAGACGCGACGCAAACCAAAGCTATTAGAGCGATGGTCCCCGTATACAGAACTACGCCTGTACCGATCCTACAGCGCGAGGCGGCTCTACCCCCAGCAGAGGTGATACTGGACGCGAAGCTCCACACAGCGTCCACCAGAATCCATCGTCTGGACGAGCGACACCCTCTCCGAACGAGACTCAGGGACAAATCAGGACCAGACTCACAGCTACGACGAATGGCAAGCCTCGTAAGCAAAAATACCGAATACATCGATCCGTTAGAACTTCCCCCTTGGGAGCAACTAGCGGACTAGCAGACAGCCCTCGCCAGGGTCGGCTACGAACCTAATAAGACCAAAGAAGAACAGGCCCTCTCCTTTGCAGGCAGGATGGCAACTTTCTCCAAGCGGGACATTGTTGTCTACACTGACGGGTCCCAGATGTCGGACGGCAGCAGCACCTCCGCCGGAGCAGGCTGGGTAGGGTACCAAGCTATACGGCAGATCTTCTGCGGATTCGAACCACTCGGCTCCTAGACTGAGGTGTATGACGCGGAGGTATATGCTGCGTATTACGGCCTGATAGAAGCTACCCGGGCTCCTACGGCTCGTATGGTAGATAACGTCCATATCTGCCTCGATAACCTCGCAGTCGCGGCTAGACTATACTCCCAGCGCACAGGAAGCAGCCAGGCTAGATTTAGGGCCTTTAATAGGCTCTCTTCCTCCTGGACTCGGAGACAAAGAGAGAGCTGGACAACCCCCGGCAGGGTTTATGTTTGGTGGTGCCCTGGGCACACGGGAGTACCAGGAAATAAAGAAGCGGATGCTCTAGCCAAGGAAGCCTGCAAACTAATCCCAAAATCACAACCACAGCCCTCATTAGCGCACCTAGAAAGGCAAGCTAAAGTAGCTACCTTCCAAGTCTTTGCCAGAAAATGGCTGTCCCAATGCCCTCGGCAATATGCCGACCTCGAGATAATTCTTCACCCCAAGCCGCCCGAACTCCGCCTCCCTCGGCACTTACTAGGAAGGCTATACGCAGCAAGATCCCATCATGGAGACTTTGCAGCATACCACGAGAGATTCGCTCATCAAGATGCGTTGCTCAACTGCAGCTGTGGGAAACCCAAGACACCAGTCCATTTCTACTTCTGCAAGCGTGGACGCAAGGCTACACCGAGCTACCTACGCCAACGTATGGCCAAAGTAAGCATTGATTTCTTATTAGGTTCTGCTAAGGGAGCCTCTCTTCTATGCGAATGGATAGAGGAGACCAATTTCTTTTCCGAAATTTGCCCGAGTCATTGAACAGGAACGTTAGGTGAAGACGGTAGCCTGTAACATAGTTTAGATTAGTATAGACCATGTCGGCATAGCGCCCGGCACGTCCTTTTGTTACCAGACGTTAAATACATCATCATCATCATCATCATCACAGTACTTAATAATGCAGTGGAAAGTTGCGATCTCCTGACCATGGGTGACGGGCCGAAAGACTCTTCCCACCTGAAGCTCACCAGGCAGAGGCGACCTAGATGAATATCTGTTGGTATCACAGGCGTGATACATTTCCTCATGAGGGTGTGCCTTCGGCAACAATCACGTCGATGTCCGTAATAATTGCTGTTGTTGTTCTTGTTTCCTATTTACATTGTGGGCAGGGGTCGGTCGAAGTAGGTGGTGACGGCCTGGGTGGTTGCCCCACCTTAACCTGCTGTGATGACTAAGCCGGTTGTCCCACTTCGCCCAGGGCAGGCGCCAGCCAGCCCACGATACCTGCCCATTGCTCCTTATCAGCCTTGCCGTTCCGACAATATCATTTGACGACTGTCGCAGCGCCACACGTGGCGCTGCCGGTTACTGCCGTACGATACCGCTTTCCACAAGCCGATTACCCGTCTTGTACGGTATATAGATATGACCCTCATACGGATCTTCCACTTAGAGGAATCAAGCCACTTTCTACTATACATGTCTTCCACTTGCTACCTCGTTCTGTGATAACAACCCTTTCCAATGATGTTCGACCTTTGAGTAAAAGTTCACAACTTGATCTAAGGATCAATTAGCTTACATTTCATGTAATTTGATTGCAAAGATGATCCGACTCACCTACTCTACATCAAACGGGCTTGGTATGCCACTGGTCTTTTGACGCCTAGTAATGGACAGAATCCAAAAACTCGATCGCAGGCTCAGCTGCAGGCTCAGCTGCAGGCTCTGCCTCTTTCTTGTAATGGACTGATTCAAGGAAAGAAATTGATGGTTCGGCGTCTGCCTTGGGAGAGCGCTTGTAATGGACAGACTCCAAAAAGTTAATTGCAGGTTTGGCCGCAGCCTCGGCTTCCGGGGTTCTCTTGTAGTGAACGGAGTCAAGGAACTCGATAGCAGGCGCCGCTTCTGCCTCGGCGTCGGGAGACTTCTTGTAATGTGTAGACTCGAGGAAAGAAATGCTGGCTTCGCGTTTCCCTTCGTTCACAACGCCGGCAGGGGCGGCAACAATTAAAGATGCTCCCCCAAGGAGCAGAACATTGGCAATTCTCATTTTGTCTGTGTTTTAGAATGAAACTGAAGTTGATACTTTAGAGAAATTTTCCGTGAGAGAAAACGCACTCCCCTTATATAGCCGTTCCCAGGAGGTGACAAACAGTGAATTTAATCTGTCGCGTTCGGCGCACTTATCTGAAGTAACTGAGCCAAGTTGTGGTATGAACGCAATGCCCAATAGGTTGTCACTGCGACTAATCCGGGCCTGGGAAGGCGCAAGCTTCATCCAAATCATCATTTGTGGAGACTTCTCTGGTTATCTATGTGACTCTCGGACATTGTGACAATGGTGTGAACTGATTGGTTGCTTCACCTCCATCGACATGGGTTACCCCACTTGAGTTGGAACTTCTGCTGCGGAGCCTACAGGGTTTTGAACAGTGGTAAACTAGCAAATAGATTTATTCCAGTATTAGAAGTAGATAGACTTGCCACGTTTTCTCTGTTGCCTGCCGACTTATGAAACTCGGTGTTGGGCTGAGCTGCACGGAGAATTCCCAGGTGACGCAGTGCAGCGCCTTGAACCGGCAACTTGAATAGACATAAGCGAAACACATTGCTTGCGCATGATCTAGGTTTCTCGGTCTATGCTGACCTTGGTGGTTGGGTTGGTGGTCGAGACCGATTCTTCTGAATGTTTCCTATTAGAGAAACAAGCTTTTGGGGCCCGCGTTGGCTGCTGCGCTGATTCGATGAAATCTGGTCAGCTGCGTATATTAACAGATAAAGTCGTGTCAATGGAGGAAACAAGCTTTCTGAAGTCGGCTGACTAGACGAATACAGAAGGTCGATTACCCAGTCTTAGAAACTGACTCGTTGCTATCCAGCGCAGCTTTCGGTCCTGAACGATGTCTTCATTGCAGTGAATTCCCTTTTTCTCATAGACGGCGAAAGCCGCCTTGTCGGTGGCGAGTCATGTTTGTAAGGAGCCCCTCGTCTGTCACCTCGTATCATTGGAAGCTAGATAACAATCGATTTTCGGACTTTGGAAAAGCGTAGAGCTAAAAAGAGCAGTCTGCAACTTGAGATTTCCAATCTTCTTCGGACTTTGATCGTCGCTCTCCTAAGAAAATCGATGCTAATGATGTCCAGTAAACCAGGCCAGTCTGGCCGCAGACGAGACCTCCAAGAGGAATGTGAAGTATTCCTCTTGGACGATGAAAACATGCAATCGCCCGCCAAAAGAAGCAGAACTTCATTCAAAAACCTCCGTTTTCCTTTTTTCTGGGTTAGCTGTCTACTTCTTGGGCTGTCGACTTGGCTCCATTTCAACCCAGCAGGACCATCGGACTTGGCCTGTGCTAGAAAGCTCAACGTTTTGTGTAAAGTCTAGCATCACACCTCTTGGGGACGATTGATGGGATCACGGACTCACGAGATATATAGCACCCGTTCAAGATGCTTTAGAATTTGAAGATGTCCAGTTTGACAATGGCTTCTGGAAGTCCAGCCCTTACAAGGGAAGGCCAACTCCGGAACTTGAAGCCAGATGGAAGGATCTGTGGTACTGTAGGTTGAACGAACGACCCTCCCTTTCCCACAATAGCAGCTACTGATATAGGTTTGTTAGACGGATCATTTGACTTATCAGATGAATACTTACCGGCATTGAACAAGACACCGCATGGTGTCGGCGGTGACTCCTGGGCACGCACGAAGCCAGGCTATCTCTTAGCTGGCCTCGAAGTTTTCCACAACCTCCATTGCTTGAACCTCGTACGTCAGTTTGTGCACAGAACCGACTTCGATTATAGCGATGATCCGGCCTTTCACGGTGGAGAGGATCTTGTGCTTGCCGTAAGCCTTCCCCGAGTCCATAATATCGACCAAAAGTTTGCACTGAATTACCTTACTTGAGTGAATCACATCAATGTCCTGGTTTTCTCTCGAAGCTGATCTATATAGCATGTTGATCATTGCATTGAGGCATTGCGTATACGGCTGCAATGCTCGGCCGATGTTACCCCGTTCTTACACACGAATGGCTCTCGAGGCATCCAGCCAGACTTCAACTCCCAGCATAGGTGCCCTAAGTATGATCGCATCGTTGACTGGGCGAAAGAACGGCAGATCATGGTGGATACTCCGAAGCACGAATAGTCACTACATGTGGTGCTTGTCTTTTGCGCTTCGAAGGTAGCAAAGAATGGTCAAGCTGTAATTCCAGTCACCCTCTTTGGAGCGGATGACGAGTTGATTGAACCGAACTTTTGTGACACGAGTAAAGTATGGCAACGGTATTGGACGTGATCGTTGAGCCTTCGGCAAAGCTTGCGAATTTGTTGAAGCCGCTCAGGTGGTTTCTCTTATGCGCCCAGGCCCTATGGAATTTGTGGCATGAGGCAAAGTAAGGTTATTGAAGACAGTATATGGGGTTATGCCTTCCTAAATGTTCAATCTCGACACTCTCGATCCAGTTGCTCAATATTCAGTCAATTCAGTCCTTATGCTTGAATACCGCGAAAATCTTGTTATTTATCGCTCGAAAAGATTGACCTCCTGTCAACCTCATATAAACAGTCTGTTCTGTAGGAACAAAAATGAAATAATTCCAGTTTCCTGCTTCACAGCCCGTTTCCAATTCTGTGCCATATTTACTCAGGGCACCTTATCAACTCATGACGCAAAACAACTTGTTCAAAGCGCAATGTAGTATCGCTGTGTGCCATATGACGAACAGGCTCCTCGTGGCTGGACACGTGCATCCTTCATAATTTCCTTGCGGGCTCATCCCGTCGTAGATCACGGGTATCTTAGTACAAACCAACAAGGATGTCACCACGGACGCGGGCAGTCAAGTGAACCTCGGCTTCCAGATCCAATTTGATGCCAACCATCAGAGCAGCTTTGGTCAACTTCCCGTTCTCATCGACAGGGCCCCTGAGTAGGTTACCTGAAGTCGTATCAGCAAAGAGGAAAATTTGAGCAGGGCAAAGAAATCATCAACATACCAACAGGGCCATTTGCGGTGCCAGAAAGGTTGGGCATAGGGACAGGGAGGCCTGTTGCGGGCATGTTTCCCCTCATTCCTGTGTTGGTTGGTGGGTATGATGTGGGATAGGCAGGCGCACGAGACTGCTCCTCTGCGGTTGTCTTTGCTCTAGATGATAGTGAATATTAGACATCAAAAGACAACAAGACGAGGCTGATATGAGAGCTTACGGGGAAGACATTGTGGTTAGATATCTGACAACTTGATCTTGCAATGAATGCTGAAGCTCCTCAGGTGAGCTTGTTTCGTCTACTGGTTCGGGGTTGAGTAGTCCACGTTCTTTGAGAAACTGCTCTGAGAGTGATTTGATCGAAAGTATTGGGCTGGTGGCTTGGAGTTCTTTCGCAGCCTCTGCGGTCGGTTTCTCTCCTATCGATGAAAGAGAGCCTCGTTTTGGGTTATGGCGTTGATGGCCGGGATCGTCAGATTGATGTTCCTGTGGTAGTGACTGAGCACGGGAGCGGTTGGCGGTTAAAAGGTTGTCTGTTGCGACTCGAATGGGAATCTTGAAAGAAAGGGATCTTCTGAGGGCTCCTGGCACAGCAGAGAAATCTTCAGATGGCTTAACCGGGGGTTCTACAGGGACAGCGGTAGCAGAAACGCGCTTTGACGAGGTGCTTGAGGATCGCGGAGCGTGACTTGGCCTTCGTGGCACAGGTGGCGGTTGCTGCTGTTGCTGCTGTTGGGCCTCAAACTTTGTTGATATTGTGGCGATGGGGGAACCTGTTCCCGCTGGCGTTTTTCCAGTGTTTGCCGTGGTGCTCTGTGATTTGGATTGAGATGTAACTTTGTTGGCCATCTTGGAGGGGGAGCATGGTCAGCTTTAAGCTTCGATCCCGAACTCGGCTGACAGAGCCCGGTATAATTATTCGATGCTATCCTCCTTCTCCGTCTATGCGTCTTGGATCATATTTGCTACCGAGCCAGCGTTAACCTTGGGAGCAAACTGACATCGTCTGATGTCGAAACCAGCCGCTCGGATTGTATTTTGCGTCGTGTTTTGTCAGTCTTGGCTAGAACGCGTCGGTCAGCGCTGCTCGCTCATGCGGAATTGCGCCTGTGTTTCCAGAACATCTGAAAAATGGTTCGCATGGTACGATGTGGGTGAGTCGATAGAACGTTTGTGGGTTACATTGGGGCTCGCCTGTGTCTCAGGATGCCTTCATGGGAGCTTTGACAAGGGTCCTGCAGCTACCAGACCCTGGCAAGGACCCTTGTGCCGGAGAGTTTGAACAACATCATTCAGGGACCACCAGGCACCATCGAAGATCTACAATATGGAAATTGTATCTGACATCTCTTCTCTGCGCCTCCGTGCCTCTAATAACTAAGACCATAGAATGCCATCTTCTGTCAGAGGCTGCGAGAAAGCTCCACATGCATCAGCCGATGATCCACATGCATCAGCCGATGATCCTCAATCCTTTTTCCAACGTCTCTTCTGATCTTTCGAGGTTTCGAAGTCTGAAACACTCCAAGCAGTATTCTGACTTATGGGGTTGAATCGAAGATTTTCCGAGACCTTCACTACCACGTTGTCCTTAACAGCTTGAGATGAGGAGCAATTCGAATGCTTCATCGGCGTGAAAGACACGAATCGATAGGAGAAGGCAAAAGACGAACGACGACATTCTTCACGTCCTAACTACAAGGACTCAGGCATCCTACTGAAAACAACTTTTCTCAACTTTCTATTGAGTTTCGAGTAGCGTTATCTCATCCACAAAGCCTTACCAGGTGGGCGGGAAGATGGCTCTCTCATTACTCATCAGCTTCGCCACTGCCGTGGGCGCTTCAGAAGGTATTAAGGCTTCTATGGCCAAATCCCGTCGAGAGGAGCACCGGAGTCGGAAAAACAATCTCATAGTGCACTGTCCCAAGTCGTCACAGTTCAGTCTTTACCTTGAAGGACGCCAAGTGGTCCTATCTGGCGATAGAGTAAGCTTTTGCCATCATCTTGGGGTTCAGGGCCCGTTAATAATGGAGCAGCTATTTGCCGACACCGGCACAGCTCATGATGTCCCTTTCGGTCACCCGTTTGAAGGTTATTATCTTCCATACCCGGACTCACGCTTCTCCGGACTGGTGAGCACCATTACTCACGAGGCACCCATCATGAATTGGATATTCATTGACCCCGTCACTTATCAAGTCCGCTTTGGTAACCGTGCCATGGCCGATGATAATGTGACTGGGCCATGGGAATGCACTCGACAAGACCGAAGGCTCACATTTTGTGGATGGGAAGGCTTCTGCGCAGTCTTAGAAGATAGTGGCATTTGGGGATTATATTTTGACTGTGATGGTGACGGCTTTCGGCAGAAAGTGGGCTGGGAAAGCCGCATAGTCATCGAGATTGAGCTTATCCGACGGGAATTGAGAACCGGAAAGCCGGAATACATTAACTCTGAGGAGGAGCCGAAAGGCCAGGAGTAATTGATACCCTAACTGACAATAAATACTAAGAAATGCTTGGCATATATAATAAATAGTAAAGTTCTATAGTTATACTATCTACTCAAGCTTATATTTAAAACATATAACTATATATTTATATAAGGGAATTGATAGTGTTGGAATAGGCCTACATTAGGCAGCAGGAGGTTGCTGCCGCGGTCCGTTCCAGCCTCGGTGGTCCGTGTGGCTCAGCCACACGAGGGTGGTATACCCCAGACTTCCTGCCGCCGCTGGCACCTGGTTAGACTTCCACTCAAGAACAACAAGAACAAGCAATATCACCACTACAGTCGGTGATCGTTGCTACCCACGATACTCGAGTATTTTCCTTTTCCACCTGTGAATCCAACACAGACGTTGCAATGACCCAGTCGCGTGGGAGACCTGTTTCCATGTACCAGGTAGAGAGGTGATATTGCCCTGCAACGATGATGTACGGCGGGACGCTATAGCCTGACGAACTGATGGCCTGGATAACTGTAACCCATTCTTTAGTAGTAGTAGTAGTAGTGGTGTTTTACATCATCAGGGACAGGTGCCCAGCTATCTATGTAACTAAGCTCCGATCAACCAGAGCGCCCTTTGGGCATATGATGTGCCGTGCCGCCATTATAGCGTACGACAAGTCAGGCAGTCTATAATGTACACTTTTCTTCTCGTGCCTAGAGCAGTGGAGTTTAGTATCTAATCCCCAGGGTCCGTTCAGTTCCAAAAAGCACGCCAGCAGGGGGTCCCTGACTCGGCAGAAGCGAATGGGTCTCTAGCAGCCCTACGCCGTCCACAGACGGCGTTGCCGCAACAAGTAACCGGCCCTCGGAGGCATATTTGCCTACGCGAGCATTTTTCTGTTTTCTTATATTTTCTTATATAGAAGATAAAGGAGGACGGAAGAGAGAGGGGTGTGGTAAGGCCGGGGCCTCAAGGCGTCGGTGGGTGTGTGAGAGAGTTGTGAGGCGCGGGATCTCGGGCTCGCTATCTTTGCAGAGAGTGAGCCTCATAGTAGCGCGTCACACGCTCGAACTTCTCAAAGGCACCCGGGTCTCTGACCAGGGCGTACCAATAGGCTTCGGCCAGGCCTATCGGGGGCGGTAGTGGTCCCGGATCGTCCACGGTCCCGGTAATCGGCCATAGCGCCGAGGTACGGCGGTTCTTCGTGCAATATACTGGATGGGTAGGCGATAATTTCCGCCCGCAGTTACATTTGAAGTCTCCGTCGTGCTGAAAGCGCCTGTGGTAGGCGTGGAAATGGCCATGGCCAGAACGAGCAGCGAGGAGGTGGTGCAAAAGAGGACGCCGTAGGTCCAGTTCCGGAGGGCAACGGAGGGCAGCGTCAGTTTTCTTATAGCCTGGTTTGAGCTTTTGCTTCGAAGTATGCCACCATCGTGAATGGTAGCCACGGGCTCTGGCGCGGGCCATCTTCGCTATCCCAGCGTATGATGCTAGCGGTGGAGGGTCAGGCAGTAGGAGAGCGGCTCCTTCTTTACCAAGCTTATCAGCTAATTCGTTTCCAGGGATCCCGGTATGTCCGGGCGACTGTAACCCATTCGCGGTCACCAGGCTGCATCATCTCCGTGTTTAAACGCCTTTCGGCACTTGTAATAACCACTCCGGATGCAATCTGGCCCATCATAAACCCAGTCTCATCAAAGTTATAGATATCGGAGTCCACGATGCCGTACTTCGCGATTGTGTTTGCTATAAGGCGAAACCACGCGTTTATCGCGTCTAGATCTTCGCATTGGGCCCTCTTATAGTCATACTTCCGAAAAGAACGCGTTTAGAGCCTTGGTTGTCTCTTAACGAAGTTCGAAGCCCAGCGCTTGCCAACCGGGGGCGCGTCGCGGTCGGCAAGTAAACGATTGGCCATATCTTCCACACCACTAATCCGGGGAGGAAATGATCGGGAATCCAGATCAAGAACATACTCAACCAGCTTCTCTTCTTCAAGCGCTGTCAAGTTCCGTGAGTTAGGTATCGTGTCGCGTCGTGATAGAATGCCCTTTTGTTGGAACAGCAAAGGCTGATAAGGAGTAATAGGCAGGTACCATGGGCTGGCTGGCACCTGCCCTGGGCGAAGTGGGACAACTGGCTTAGTCATCACGGCCGGATAAAGGTGGGGCAACCACCCAGGCCGTCACTACCTACTTCGACCGACTCCTGCCTACAATGTAAGATAGAAAGAAGAAGAACAAGCAATAGGATCACCAACAGACGAGTGATAATTGCTACCACTATTTGTCGTATACGACCCCGTGAACCAACACCTTTATTCGCCGATGTAGCGTCCTAGAGCAGACTGAGTATATCTTAGCTGCAGCCCGAGCGCTAAGATTTGGGTCATTTATGATAGCTTGAAGGGCTAGTTGTATTTGGAATTGCGTTGTTATGCTGTAGCTGCAATTGGTTGCGACACTCGCTTATCAAGCACGTTACTTATTATAATTAATAATAATAATTAGTTATAACGTTAGGCCGATAAATTAAGTATTACTCGATTAGTTCTCTTACGCTCTTTAAGAGAAATCGGAAGCCCTCTAACCGTTCGTTATTGATAAGACCAAATACTACGTTATAGACAGACCTAAGGCAGGTCTACCCAGTTACTTAGAATAATGGAAGCTTAAAGCGATTAGTGTTATAGGTGTTATCGAAGCTAGTTACTTTGGGGAACCGCTTCCACATTTAGAGATAGTAAGGAAAGGTCTAGACAAGCCTAACAAGGCGGTCCGGCTCATCATCAGCCTACTTTATAATATAAGGGATCTCCCGCTTATCGAACAACTCAATTAACGCGGCCGTTAATAAATAACTATCTAGCTTTTTCCGATTCACGCGCGCTCTAATATTAGAAATATCGCGCTAAGTAAATGAGGAATCTGAGAACTACTCTTACATGATAATACGGACGTTACATACCCGAATACTAATACGACGGCTTATTATTTTTAATAAAATCCATAATAAGCTAGGTAAGCTTTCAATGTAAAGGGTAAGCAGATGCCTCAAGGCTTGGCTAATAATTATATTGACTATAGCGAATATCTAGTAGATAGCGTAAAAGCTATTTGCCTTTCTCTTACGCTTTAATAATTACTTATTATTAATAGCTACACTTCCGAGACCTACGTTATTGGATGCTTATACCCTTTAAGGGACCAGGTTCACTAAATCAATTATATTAAAAAGAGTATCGTATATATCGACCCGTCCGAGAGGTATATTTATGCCGTTTTATAATATTAAACCCGTTATGTCACAGACCCGCTGTCCTAAGCCCCAACCTTGAGGTTGGTGTTGAGTAATCCGGTGGCCGGGTTACGTAAGCCTGAGGCTGGATAAAACTCTGCATCCTGTATTCTGTCGCGCATGTCCAGAAACGTAGCTCCTTGAGCTACGTCTTGTCAACAGAGCCTGTACCTGCTTAGGATAGAGCCTGCCCGTAGCAATAGATTGTCTGATCCGCCTGCCCAGCATCCACCTGCCAAACAACCTGCCTGCTACCGTGACACGTTAGTCCTTATAAATATATTAAGTTAACTAAAGTGGGCCTCTACGGTAAGCTCTAGGTTGCCGGGGATCAACAAGTTAATGATTATATTTAAAGAGAGAGAGGAGGATTTATTGAAGTAGGTATAGTAGGAGGCTATAGTTTAGAAAGATAATAGACTCGAGGGAAGGTACTATTACAGAGATAAATATAGGCGGGGTAGGTTTCCTTAAGAACCCTACATCTTGTTACGCCCGCCGCAACTTGTCACTGTGGGCGCGTAGCTATATAATGCAGAACAAGGGACAATGATGCCGGAGTCATCATTATCGAAGCTTTTGCTTTGTGCCACAGTTGGTTGCCTTGTTGTTACGACCCAACATGAAGACCAGGGCGTGCCCCGCTGACGCCTAGCGGCTACGGCGCATCATATATGCAGGACGGGACGGAACATTGGGGAAACCCCAGGAACGGAAGAACTATGGTACAAGTCACGTGATGATAAGAGATATGATAAGGGATAAGGATATGTTGGATATGCGACATATCCAACCGAGTCAAGGATATGTTGGATATTCGGCATATCCAACATATCCAGACAAAGTGGACTGTACAGCACTGTTCAGTTAGGATCGGACTTGTATATAAGGATGGACTCGAGCTGGGCTCTAGGACAGACTTTCCATAGCTCTTCAGCAATTAACTTCGTATCAGGATTAACATCCGCTTTCAGCTACTACCTTGACAAGACTACGATTGATCACCGAAGCCTTACCTACCCTTACGATTGACAGACATAGCTTCCTTGAAACTATTCCACGACTACGATTACTGTTACCAGTTCCGCAGCCTCAACTTCTGCAAACTACCCCTACGACTAGCTGGCCGTAACACTTGTCCAGCTCGTAACACATCTCTTACGAATAGTTAATAGCTTTACTCGTATTATTAGAGGAGGACGGTTATTAACCTTTCGTTGGTCCTAATAACCTATTAAATAAGCTTAAGAGTATTATTAAAATGCTCTATAATAGGCTACTAAGGGTCTTAGTATCCTTTATTAGAGAATAAGAGGCTATAATCTAGTGAGATATAAAGGAGAATACTACGTTAGGTATTTTATATTGCCCTTAGGAAACGGCGCATAAGGTAAAGCATAGACTTAAGGTACTCGTTATCCGGATAAGGGCCGCTACGGGTAGGCGAGAGTCGGGGTAAAGTAGTAGGTTAGAGGGAGTCGGTTCTATTATTGTTGTTGTTGTTGTCCTATTTAACGCCATGGCGGCAAGGGCGCAGCCGCCCTTGCGGCAGACCTCCTGGAGGGTATGTAGCGTGAAGGGTCGCAGGCTCTAGCTATATACTATATAGTACACGTCGTATCCTGACGTCCTCCAAATCTTGCTCGTGAGCTACTATGTGTTCTATCCATCACTAGTTCCCACTGGTGCCCTAGTTCCGTTATAACCATCTGGTTTCTTAAGTCGGTTCTATTAGGGAAATAGCGGCTAAGGTAGAATCTTAGTTCGTAGGGTAATAGGGTTAATAGTAGGGTAGTAGTTATATTTCTTATAATAGCTCGGGTAATAAGTTATTAATTAGGTTGCCATATATTTAGGGGTCGCCAACTTTAAAAAATCAATAAATATTAGTATAGCTGCCGATTAAGGAGGGGGACGATAATATATCAATATATTAGCACTTAAGAGGACGTATTACGTCGCTAAGGCTACAGTCTACCGCTCGGCGGCGTGGATTGCGCTGCGGTTTAAATATTAAAGGTATTATACGTTAATATTAAGCATAATAACTAAGATAGTCTTAGGAAAGGCTAGCATAGAGGAAATTCTGGCACGATAGCTTTAAGAGGTAAATGGTAGTATTCTTATAACAGAATAAAAGGTGAATATTCATATAGAAGCAAGAATATATGAATATAGGGGTAGTTAAGCGTATGTAAAAGAGGTTGATAAATATAAAGAGAGTATATAGTTGGATTACTATATAAGAAGTTGCTTGCTTAACGAAAGGTCTAAGTAGGTAAAAGATGCCTTTATATAGGCATGAAATGCCCCACTAGAATATTCCATTGCTTATTAATCATATCATAATAAATAAGCATAACGTGCATGATAAGCGAGCGGATCGGACAAGCGAGCGGATCGCTCGACAGCAACCACTCCACGTATGTAAATCTTGATCAACATCAACAAAGTTTAATTAATTGAAACTACCCATAATCCTCTTCTCTAGACATTTCTCTCTGAAATGGACATGTGCGCGCATTGTGTCCAGTGTTCCCGCAGACGCCACATCGCCGTTGACCTGTTTCCGTCCTCGGCCGACGGCCACTACTCCGGCGCGTTTCCTCCTCAATCTGAGCTGTAGCCTCTCTCTGTGATTGAAGGTCATCTGCCTCAGCTATATTAAGGCTCCCTCCTTGCCTGAGACGAGTTTTCTTAGATCTCCGCCGTCGGCTAAGTAGATTATTCTCCTCCCGAAGGGTTTTATTCTCAGCCTCTAGAAGAGCATTACGATGCATCATAGCTAGTGTCCCTTTGAGGATATGGTCAACTGCGTTACTAGCTGGTGTTGGCGAGCTATTTGGATGATTTAAGATTCGATCTTTAATCAAAGTTGACTGAGAATTTGCCTCTGTTGGGTTGTTTGGTGTCTGAGAAGTCCACGCTGGGGGTGTTGCTGGGAGAGACCCTGGGGGCGTTGGAGTGTGTAACTTCACATCCAGCTTCGAAAGCACACTTTCAGCACTTAACAGAACAAGCCCGGCCCCTCTAAAACCTCCCTGGATGGTTTTAACCGTTAGGGCTTGCGTGAAAGCGTTGCGAAATGCAGGGAAGAAGTCCTCCTTCGTAATATGCGTATTACCCCGGCGCATCTTATCCTCAATTTGTCGACCATAAGCCGTCTTTAGTGGCCCAAAGCACCCAACGTCTAAGGGCTGAAGTAGATGAGACGAATGGGCCGGCATGCAGAGTGTGATGATATTGTTTTCCTTGCAATATATCTCAAAGTCCGCAGAGTGGTGACTTTCATGCCCATCAACGACGAGGAGGCGATATCTACCAGTTGCACGCGGTTTTGTATGCCGATCAAAGTACTGGAGCCAGTCTAGGCCTCTTTCATTTGTTGTCCATCCGTTTTCAGACGTTGCAATGACCCAGTCGCGTGGGAGACCTGTTTCTGTGTACCAGGTGGAGAGGTGATATTGGCCTGCGACGATGATGTACGGCGGAACGCTGTAGCCTGACGAACTGATGGCCTGAATGACTGTAACCCATTCACGATTGCCAGGCTGCGTCATTTTCGTGTTTGAACGCCTTTCAGCACTCGTGACAACCATTCCGGATGCAATCTGGCCCATCATAAACCCAGTCTTATTAAAGTTGTAGATATCGGAGTCTACGATGCCGTACTTCGCGATTGTGTTCGCTATAAGGCGAAACCACGCGTTTATCGCGTCTGGATCTTCGCATTGGGCCCTCTTGTAGTCATACTTGCGAAAAAAGCGCGTCCGGAGCTGTGGGTGTCGCTTGACGAAGTTCGAAGCCCAGCGCTTCCCAACTGGGGGCGCGTCGCGGTCGGCGAGCAGTCGATTAGCCATTTCTTCTTCACCACTGATCCGAGGAGGGAATAATCGGGAATCCAGGTCGAGAATATACTCAACTAGCGTATCCTCTTCGAGCAACGTCAAATTCCGTGAGTTTGGTACGGTTTCAAGTCGCGAAGTTCTTCTATTAATACGGGTGCGCAAGGTTGAAAATGGCACTGAGTAGATCCGAGCTGCATCTTTAATACTCAAATTTGGTGTTTTTTCGATAGCTTGAACTGCTAGAATTATACTAGCTTCTTTGTTTGATGACTGTATCATTGTGGTGGATGGATATGTGTTGGAAAGAAAAAGATGTGGCGGTCGCTGTTGAGCGATCCGCTCGCTTATCATGCACGTTATACGTAAGTGAATGTGTAATTGTAATACGTAATACCTTTCAAGTAAATTCCAGCGCATTCTGTTACCTTCCAGTGCCGTGTTTAATTCAAAATCGAGATGCGGCAGGATGTGTTATGACCCAACATGAGACCAGGGCGTGCCCCGCTGACGCCTGGCGGCTACGGCGCATCATATATGCAGGACGGGACGGAACATTGGGGAAACCCCAGGAACGGAAGAACTATGGTACAAGTCACGTGATGATAAGAGATATGATAAGGGATAAGGATATGTTAGATATAGGACATATCCAACCGAGTCAAGGATATGTTGGATATTCGGCATATCCAACATATCCAGACAAAGGGGACTGTTCAACACTGTTCAGTTAGGATCGGACTTGTATATAAGGATGGACTCGAGCTGGGCTCTAGGACAGACTTTCCAATAGCTTCTTCAGCAATTAACTTTGTATCAGGATTAACATCCGCTTTCAGCTATCACCTTGATAAGACTACGATTGATCACCGATGCCTTACCTTACCTTACGATTGATAGATACAGTTTCCTTGAAACTATTCCACGACTACGATTACTGTTACCAGTTCCGCAGCCTCAACTTCTGCAAACTAACACTACGACTAGCTGGCCGTAACAGGATGGGAGATTGTGTAATTTGGCCCCTCGTCAAAGGCGGCAGCCACGCGGAACGCGGCGGTTGCATCCGAGGACGTTCCTCACAAAGGGTTCATGGACACAGCGATGATGACTGAGATCCTCAGTCTCGGGAGCATCGACAGGTTGAAGGCAGTGTCTTCAAGGTTTGCCGTTCCGTGAGTAATAATGATGGCCCTAATGCTTGGTTCTTAAGATAGCTCTTCGTACTTCTGACCAATGTCGTACCAAATTTGGAAGTTATCATAAGGTAGTGCTGTCGATGGACTCAAAGTTCTTGATTTGAACGTCCGCGTCAAGCCCGGGTTTGACTTCATTGACTCGGGTCACCTCGCAGAGTTCATGGACTTTTGCATATTCACTGAGTCTCCGCAAGCCGTAGTCTTCATCATCCGGGTTGCTGGCAACATATTAATCCTGACGAGGAGGCGAAAGCCCGGGAGTAGTTAACTCCTTGACCGCCGATGTAAGCCGAGAAAAGTCTGATATGCGAGTAAAATTACCCGGTATTAGTAGCCAAGAAAGACGACCAGTCCTTGGACTTGAAAACTTTAAGTAATTACAGTGAAGCGTTGCCTGCATAGGTATGCTTGCTCTGGACAATGGGCAAGGAAGGCGTCGGGGTATGAGGCCGGGCCGCTGAGAAGAATGCCGTCTCAGGTTTGATGGGCGGGTACCTGTGCGTAACTGTGTGCTGTTCACCTTGTCAGTATCACGCATGAACGTGCTAAATGCCACCTTGGTTTCATAGCACAGTTTTAAGAGATAACCCAGGTTGTGAGAGGAAAGTGTTTTTCGAAGGACATAATTGTGACACATGGTACTAGGGAATGCGTAGTATTTCAGATGAACCGAGATCAGCACTCAAAGAAAGCTTCGGGAAGGGGGCCTAAATGGTCTTCTACTCATCTGAGCGAAATGTCTGTTCCAGGGATGAGACCAGGACTAGGACTGCACACGGAATGCTTATGTCATATATCATGATTTCATCGGGTGCAGTCTGGTGTGGTGGCAAAGAGCGACGAGTGTTCTGCCGGATGAATCATTGGCATTCCTGAAATCTCACTCAGGCTGTGAACTACTTTTCTAGATCAATTGATAACAGATCTGATGTAGGGAGGACCAAGATAGAAAGAAAATTACGAGTTTGTTTTCTTCGGGTTAAATCAAGGTGTACGTACTGCGCGTAGTCTGAAGTAATTCAATATCGATCGAAGCCATATTAATGCCGAAATACCCGAGTGAGAGTAGCATGCCCTTGGGTCTTTGCTTCTTAGGGCAGTCCCAACGTCTATTGTCAGATTTGATATGAACTTAATGCTACTTCTCTTGCATAAATCTAGAATCTCAAAAACTAACTACTGTGGGATTGCGAGGAATCTCGCCGAGCACGAGTCTGTGATCTGGAGAGAACCTAGTACGCAGATCTTGTCCCATTATTATGAGCCGGCACCCTGGAGAATACGAACCTACTAAAATGCTATTGAAACTTTTTGAAAATCGCCGCAATGTCCTCTTTGGCAAATCTGTTAGCAAGACAGAAGCCTAATAGAATCCTGGCCCGCTTGGAGGTAAGAAAACCAGCAGCAATGATGTCCAACTTTTGATGGTCGGCGCTATTGATAACCTCGCCATCAGCAGATGCTGCCTGAACAACAATTACGTCCTTCGAAATTGCATTTACAAGGCCCTTTATCTGCTGCGGGGTTCCCAACCCAGGCGGAAACCCTTCCAACACGATCCCCTTCGCTCCGGACCCGACTAAAAAATCGATCAGCGTTTCGTCGGCGCCACAGTAGCTGGTCACAATATCAACGCGTGGGAATATTAACAGAGCTTTGCGATCAAATTCAGATTCGGAAGTCCACTTCGGTTCCTGGAGAAACTTGACTCCATCACTCCCGACTTGGCCGATAGGGGCGAAGTTCGGCGATTTGAAAGTGTTGAGCGTCGAGACATGAGTCTTTTTGACATGTATCGGGAGGTGTATTTCGTTGTTGACGACCACCAAAACACCTGGCTGTTCCTCCTTATACTTGTGGGCTGCTACGTGGAATGCGGCGGTAAGGTTGGCCATTGCATCGGAAGACATCCCATTCAATGGGCGCATGGAACCCGTAATGATAATTGGCACCCTCAGTCGTAGAACCAAAGACAGAGCGAACGCAGTCTCTTCCATAGTTGCTGTTCCATGACTGATGACGATTCCATCAATTTCCGAGGCCTGGCTGAGGTCATCACATCTTCGGGCCAGGTCGAACCATAACTTGGGGGTCATCGCGGTGCTGTCGATGGGTTTGAAGTGCTCGATTTGGATCTCCTTCTTGAGGGCTTTCTCGAGCTTACTTAGGTCGGTTCTGCTGCGCAGTTCTTCGAGTGTGGCGTAACGTCCGTTTCCATCAGATCCGTAGTCGTAGTTGTTATAAATGTTCTCGGCCAAAGTGCCGATAGTGCCGCCCGTTGGAATCAACGCAAGTTTTTTGATGTGGGCCATTTTGGGTGAATTGACTAGAACAAATTCAGAAGTAGGTGATGGTGGTTTGGAACTGCGCTATATGGACATAGTCCTTGAAACTCCCCCCCCCCCCAAAAAAAAATGCCGAGATATGAACCTATTGTTAAATATACTTCTGCTTTAGCCTTGGCAACCAGCCGTCCCTGAGCCTGTAGTCAATCACTCTACCTCATTCTGGAGTGCCTGGTGTATAGACTCAGTGTCTCACTGGAGTGGAAAGCTGTTCAGGTGACAGGTGCGGCCTTTCACTCAAAGTTCGCGAATTCGGGTGGAAGTAAAGGCGGGCTGTTCGGTACGCGCCTCAAGGCGGCGAGATTTGTCAAAGAAGCAAAGGCAATTGATCTAGCAAACTACTTCTGTATCATCTGGGTGTTGTGAGAAAATGACTCCCAGAATCAAGAGGCTAGCCAAGGATGCATCCTCTGCAAAACATAAATCACCTTTGATGTGCCTAGTAATGAGGTAATGCGGCGGTGAAGGTCGGTTGGCAAACAAGCGCTAGCCTTGATGGAGAAGATTCCTCAAACCGCCCGGTGAGCTGGAAAGACTGATGCATACCTTCAGAGAGTGTTGCTTTGTCCGAGTTGGCACGGTGGCGCAATGATGTGGTTGATGCCATCCTGCCGATTGCTGTCGTCGGTGAAGGACTTCTGACTGTGCCGTCAGCCACCGGGGAGGGGGGGTGAAGCGGCGCGTGAATGCCGGCGTGAAACGCTGAAGGTGTTGCCAAAAGATTTGGGAGGATTGGTAGACTTTTAGCGCCCACCAACCAATCCCTCAATACGCAAATAGAAACCTGGACGGCCGTGTTTGGTGAACCACTCATCCTCCTGATTGCCGTGAACAGGATGCCCTACTACTTTGTCGTCATTGACGCCAGTGGCATGACGAGTGATTGCACAACAAGTAGTCGATGAGGATAGAAATGGAAGTTTGCAGGAAATTCGTCATGAGTCATGGAAAGGCTGGCGTGTCCTTTGCTAGGTGCCGACCTTGCTAAGTAGATGAACATATTTTCCTTGAAGGTGGCTGAAGCGGCTCCGACAAGCTCGACATGCGAGTGCTTCCCTCCCCCCCTAAACCACAATGATGGACCGCCTGCCCAGCCGCTGGAAAACGCCGGAAAACTGCTTGCCTTTTGCACGCATTGCCAGAAGGTGATTGTGATCACTCCTCTTTCTCGTACTCATTGTCATACCTGCCCAGCCTCCCAAGCGGGCTTACCATGAAAACATCCTCCCATCTACCGCTAGCAGCCTTCCCGTCCCAGTCACCACCGCTGTACAGAGGTAGACGCAGTTTACCTGTGCAGTGCTCGTCGATGAAGCGGCAGACCTTCTGCATGTCGCCCACAGTGAAGTCGTCCATGAACCACAGCATGGTGCGGGGAACGTCCGCAGGGCTGAGGCGCTCAGCGTCAATAGATGCTGCGGGCTCAACGGAGGCTCCTCGCGTGCTCTTTCGCCGGGCCAGGGGTTGTGATGGTGCGGGAGACGCTCCGGCATGCTTGATATCGTCTGTCGGTAGCTTGGATTGCTTTCGGGTCGAAACGGTTGATCTGGGAATTGTCTGCGACTGGAAGACGTCTTGAGGGACTTGCGATTGTCTGCGCTTGGATGCCGATGTCGAGGATCTGGGCAAGGGAACCTTTGTGGCTGGTGTTGAATCATGTCTGGATGCTACGCTTTGAGTCAGCCAATGTTTGATGAACCACGGTTCGTTGCGATCAAGAGGAACTTACAGCGTCGCCATTTCTCGCTGGGAATTTCAGGCTGCTCGACTAGACTGTCCCTCTTCCTCTTTGCCGAGTGTCGTGCGGCCGCAGGAGTTGCGACTTGAGGCTTGGTCTCGTTTGATAGGCCCTCTACCTCGCCATTTGCATCTCCACGTGCCATGGGTCCAAGGAGGGCAGCATTCACACTCTCATCGTTCACGTAGCCGCAGTAGTCTGTCAACACATCCGGCGCATCGGCGCGCATTTTCACGACTGGCTCCCAAGAGACATCCTCCCCTTCGTTTGTGTATCCAAGCCATTGCACCAGTACTTGCCACTGCCCCCGAACACGACGGTGACGTAACAGACGGAAGGGGTGGTAAAGCTCTCCGATTCCTAGAACGTCTTGGCGCGTCTTGCCACGGAAACTGGTCCAGTAGTCGTACAGTAAAGTCGGTCGATGCTCCTGGACATCCCATTCGGAAACGTCTAGACGGGAGCCTTTGGCGAGAACAGTGAGGGATACGAGCGCGGTATCGGGGTCGATGGTATGCGCTACGATTTTACTGATCGCGTCATAGGGAAGGTCTACCAAAGTTTTTGAGCGTCAATGAGGGCGCATCAGGATGGGATTGGGAACGCATGGAGAGACAGGACAGAGCTAGGTAGAGAATATGCTTTGGCGGATGGAAATTCTTCTTACCTTGCTTCGTAAGCTTAGACGAGGGTCTACCTCGAGGCATGACTACGGGCGAAGAAGAATCTGTATGCTGTTATGGGCGGCAAAGGCAAGCAAAGAATTGAGTCGTGATGGGAGGGCAAGCAGGATGCTGCGGGAAAGTTGCACTGCCAATGAGTCGATCGCGTGTGGGACGCGTTCGCGTCGGGTAGCACTGCGTCAATAATTTTTCTGGGCCCGGGGCCCCGACTCCGATGTGGACCCCTATGGCTGGCACCTCACCCGACTTCTCCGGGTGCCCTACGAATTTCCCTTCCCAGTCCGCAGCGATGTATCTGTACCTAAATGGCAGTACCCTACTCCGTATACGGATAAGATTCCTTGGCAGGTTCCTTTTTGTTGGATGGTCTGGAATTTATTTGGTTCGGCATGGGCCCGGGGGGTTGGCTCGCCGCATGGCACCGGCGTGACGGTGTGTTCAAGGGCCGAATCCCGCAGCGCGGCACCAGCCCCAGGGGGAGAACAATCTCGACTAGGGGCATCATTGGCAACTGCATGCGATTGAGATTGAGATGATCCGTGGAATCAAGCAAGTTTAAGTGGCCTCGTAATCACTATGTAATACGGAAATTGGGCGGTCCCAACTTTAGGCAGTCAGTGAGCTGCAACTGTCTTGGCACGGTTTATGCTCGTTACCTATCTGATGGTATTTGTCTATCACCACTTCCGTGTGAAAGAAGCGTTCTGCCACATCTCTGCCGTGTGTGAATTGCATCTTGTTGTATGCAGCCAACTTGGTCATGGCCCCGTCTCGTGGAAATGCCACTCACAATACCTTAGCTCAGTATCCTGTAGGCACGTAAATAGTGATTTGCCGCTCTAATGATCTATACTCTATCCGCCCTTTGAATGCTGGTGTAGTTACGCTATTTGTGCAGTTGATGTCTATGAGGCTCGTGTCGTCCAGTCCGTCTATCATCTATGTAGTCTCTTTAGTCTATTCGTGAAGAATTCGTGTCTCATCTCAACGCCCCAGGACGATCCGTTTAATCGTTCAGGCCCATCCAATCCGGAGGAGCTTGTAGCCACTCTCATCCCCTCGTCCGACTCCGCTCCGTTTCTGCAGTTCCTCTGATTCCAGGATGGCCAGTCTCTTGCCGTCTGACCGGTTGGGACTGTCGCTAGCCGTGAAAGCGGACTCGACGCTGTCGCTAACGCCGTTGAAGCGGCCGTTGCGCCGCACTGTGACAAGGAGCCAGAACACACCAGAATCTGCGAGCAAGCAAGTCGCGCAGTCACGCAGCCAGAGGGCATGCTCCGGTGCGTAGATGACGTCGGTCGCGATGATGATATCGGCGGGAACATGGAGAGGTGCATCTAGGACAGGCGCTGCCCAGTCGAGACTGGCGGTCTGCACCACGTGGGTCGGCTGGGCGGTTGGGAAGTTGAGGGCGACATTGGCCCGCAGGTTCTCAAGCACGGCCGGGTGGTAATCAGTAGCGACGATGGTTGGACTAGATGCTCCCAAGTGAGGCAGCATTTTGCCGAGCATGAGACTCACAAGCCCCGTGCCGGCGCCGAGCTCAATGATGCGTGGCGAAACACTCAGTCGAGGTTGAGAAAGACCAAAGCGCTCCGGCGAGGCACACATGATTTCCGACAGGACGATGGAGGCGCCCCAGCTCTGGAGACCGACATCGTCAGAGTCAGCCGAGTTTGTGCCTGCCAACCTATCATTGAGTCGGACGGTGACGGGAACACTCGCTGATGGTGGCCCGAGGAGCGAGAGTTGGAACGCGAAATCGCGCGTGTAATCCTGATCCTTTTCGGCCGAGGCATCGTCGTCTGGTGGGGCGGCGAAGAAAGAGTCGAGGACGCAAGAAGCCTGGTCCAGTGCGTGCTGACAGGCATCCTCGGATTCGAAGCAAGAGAGAGCCTCGGCTCTGGCAATAAAGCCAGTCAACCAGCGCTCGGCGCAATTGCGCTCAAAGACGTCTACCTTGAGAGCGGCAATGTGATGGTCGAGGCCGTCAATCTCCTCATGGTCATCGTCTGTCTCTGACACGTAGCCAGAGTCGGCGAGAGATGAGTCATGGTGAGCGAACTTTTGTGTTTCGGGGGTAAGCTGAAAGGCGACGGAGACGGCCAAGGGGCAGTAGATGATGGACAGGTTCTGTAGAGCGGCGGCGATATCGGCTTCGGTGAGCTGGGCCAAGGTGCGCAAAGGCGGAAGACTGCTCGAGGGCGGCAGCGGATGCGCAGCGGGTCCCATGGGACGCGACTTACCTCACTACGCGGAGGTTGCGAACGAGTGTTATGCTGCTCGACGATACTACATGGACGGTGAGATGCACAGGGTTAAAGAGAAATATCAAATTGATTGCGGATTTGTATGCCTCATGATTTGAGAGACAGGTATGGATAGTGAGACAACCTAAGGTAGGTGTTACTACCTTGATGAAAAAGGAAAAAGATCGTGGGGTTCCGAGTCCCTTATCTTAGGTAGCGTGTCTGACACAAAAAAGACCCGCTTGCCTAAATGAGGGCATCGTGAAAATTTTGAATCCTTAGTAGCCCTATCCCTGGACGGTTAGAGCTTGGGGTCTTTGCACGGTCGGGGTCCTCTGTTCTGGCCATCCCCGTTACAATCTCACGGCTAGTTCCCCAATCACAGAACATTTTAGTGATTATCCAGTCGCACTGAATAATGACGGGCGGGAATTGCTCCCGGACTCCGTAATCGCTCCGTAGATAATCGTGCTTTAGTCAAGGTAAAGGATTTTGTCCTTTCCAAGCTGCCTGGGCAATTCCCTTTCCACTCCCACCGCCACTGCCCCATATTTCTCTCTTCACGGGGCCACGGGCCCGTGATGACGGGGGTCAGAACACCAGGCACTCTTTCAGTCACGTGAATGTCTGAGGTACCAAACACACCACAGTCCAAGTCCACACGTCGACCAAACAGCACCTCACACAGATTGAACACATACCTCGAAAGGTACCCACTGTTAGTAATTGTTAAGGTTATAGAGGGCTACGGCCCACTGCACTATCATCTCTCAACATCAGCCCATACGAGCTGAATTCCACGACCATGGCGGTCTCCCTAGATATAGGGCCATCGATCACGGTTCACGAGGACGCCGGTATATCTCGGCGGTCGGGACGAGTCCGGAAGCCGACTGCAAAGGTCAGAGTGGTTGAGCAGGTTAACCACCAGGACAACTCTGAGCTTAAAGACGAGATCAACAAGCTTTCGAATCTTATCTAGGACCTCTTACGTCGGGACGCCGAGAGGGGATAGTTTTTGAAAGACTGTTTGACGAAGATCGAATCCTTGGAGAGAGAGCTTCAGGAGGAGAAACAGCATTCAAACCGGTATTAACGTGGTCTAGCAAGGTCTATGCACGCTATTAGCATAGGGCCTAGCGAGACTGACCTGAGTTCCCAGGGGCATCCCTCGCACATAACCCAGAACCAGCCGCCCCTAGTCCGCTTATACGCGGCGGCGGCGAGCCAGCTACTGTCTAGAAGATAGGATGAACTAACGCTAGCCAAATAAGCTGCAAAATAAGCTACAAACCGGGCGGCCTTAAAGGATCTATACGTCTTTGCGCGTTTATCGCCTGAAAGCCCGCTTCGGAACGAGAAAGCCTACGATATATACATCTTCGTTCGGGAAAGGCTAAGTCCCTAAGCCCGAGAAGCCCTTAAGGGGATCGACTATGTTAAGATAGGATTAGTACTCCTATCTTCGTTAATGGATGGTGTAAAAGTCCTGCTAGAGAACAGAAAATAGATCGCTGCCCTTCTCTAAGCATAAGCGATCGAGCAACGCGATACCTGGATCCGAGCCTATATCGTAAACGTCCCTTATACTAGGCATTGTTTGGTAACTAATACTGAGCTGGAAATTACGACCGAGGAGCTCCTTGAAGAGATCCAGGTCTCGACGAAACTCAAGCCTGAAAAAATATACTTCTCTAGGAAGGACGAAGTCGAAAGGCTAGGTACGGTGATAGCCTGGTTTAAGGCGGAAGCTGTAAGGTAACTACCAAGACGCCTCCGTTTGATGGGGGCTAGCGTTTTTATAAACCTGCAGTTCCCGAAGGAGAAGAGGTCTCCTTAATATCTCTACTACGGCGGTTTTTATAGCGAACGAACGTGCACCAGAAGGAAGAGATGCCTCAAGTGTAGCTCTCCTTCCTACATAACTGATCAACACCGGGCACCCTGCGGCGGCACTGAGGGTCACGATGGCTGCGACTGCCACTTTAAATGCCCGTCGTGTAACGGGCCTCACGCCGCCTTCGATGCGACTTGCCCTATCTAACCCAAAGTGGTAAAGGGGGTAGTCCAGAGGAGGGATAAGGCTTAGCTACGGGCTATCCGAGCTGAGGGAGAAAGATTGTGGAGAAATACGACCTAGTAGTCGCATCGATATTCCCGTGAAGAAGAATAAGCGATGGACTGTACCCCGGCGAATGAGATATAAAAGAAGAATATAGCCTTTTAAAACCCTGTAAATTATGTAAGCGAATGTGGGTAGGCGGGCATCCGCCTACGAAATAGCACTGAACCTGGCTTACGTAGCCTAGATCGATATACTCTTAATATAAGAGCCGTCTATCCGTTCGGAGGAGAGGAGGCTTATAAGACACTACCTAGGTTTTGAGACTTTCACCCTAGTAGATAACTAGACCGAAGACCGTCCTAGGGTACTTACCTACCTCCGTAGAGGAACTGGGGTACGAGGCGTATAAATACGGCCTTTACCCGATCTATCTATAGACCTGCTCTTCTTACGACTCCTCTTAGGAACGAAGGAGGTCCTTATAGTTATTAACGTGTATAACGCCCCTCGTGGCTCTCTGCGATCTGGCCAGGCTCTCAGGAACATCCTAGCGGCCTGGTAACCTAAACCTGAGGATCGAGTACTGATTGCGGGGGATTTTAATTTATACTATTGGACGTGGTAGCCCGAGGCCACGAGTTCCCCGGACGCTGAAAACCTAGTAGAATGGGCAGAAGCCGCTAGCCTTGTCCTAATGTCACCTATAGGTGAACCCACGCACAAAGGCGGCAACACCCTAGATTTATGCTGGGCGTCCAGCAACCTCCATGGGGCTTCCACCAGCATAGAAACGTCACTATATACGACATCAGACCACGAATCTCTGCTTACCCGGGTCCCCTTGGCCCTGATCGATTCACCCAGCCAGACCCCGGGAAGGTTTCGGCTCGACACGATGGACGGGGAGCTTTTCCTCGGCATCATTAAACGCAACTTACAACCCATGCGCCGCACTGCAAGCAACATCCAAGACCCATAGTCTTTAGATCTCCTAGCATAATAACTTACGGACTGTTTTATTAAAGCACTTATGGCTTCCACAAAGCGCACGCTCGGGAAAGGTATAGGGAGACTATACTGGAGCAAAAGCTATATACGTAAATACCGAGCCTATGCGAGTAAGCGAGCGATATTAATAAGACTCTGCGCAGCCGGAGTGAACTACTAATGGGAAGAAGAGGAGGTCAAAGCTCTAAAATAGGACTTTCTCTACGAGTTTAAACGCTCCAAGGATGCCTTTTGGAAAGATAAGATCTCCTTAGCCTCCTTAAGTAAAGATATATTTAAAATGGTCGGTTGGTATAAAGCCACAGGATTCTTTTAGACCCCGCCACTCCGAGATGTAGATAACTAAGATACGCTTGTCTTATAGCTAAAAGAGAAGCGCGACTTATTTACCCGCGTCCTCCTTAGAAACGCTGCAATCTCCGAGGACATACCAACAGAAAGCCCAATCTTACAAAGGCAAGCTACGCTTCCTTTCCCGCAGGTTACGAAGGACGAGGTACGGTCTTCGGTTCTTACCGCAGGAAACACGACTCCTGGGACCGACGGAATCACTACGACTACTTTGAAAATAGCATGGTGACAGAATTCGGAATTGTACCGTTGCGCCATATACAAAAGAGAGATCCCTCTACTGCATTTAGGTAGTTGTGGGTACATATAGTTTCCGTCACATGGCTAGTTATCGAGGATATTGTCCTCCTACTTTATAGCGGGTGTATATGCGAGGGTTAGCATCCTACTTGTTTTAAAGAAGTAACTCTCGTGATCCTAGCAAAACCGGGAAAAAGAGATAAGATACTCCCGCGCTCCTATAGGCCAATTACGCTCTTGGCCGTCCTCGGAAAAGGCTTGGAGAGACTTATCGCCAGACGACTTGCCTAGATCGTAGTTAAATACCGTGTTTTGCACGATTAACAGTTTGGAGCACTCCCTCTTCGCTCTTATAGCGACCTCATCGCAGCGGCCATCCACGATATCGAGTGCGCCTGGTAAAGAGGCCTAGTTACCTCTATACTTACGCTCGATATAAAAGGGGCTTTCGATACCGTGCTCCCAGGACGACTGGTCCGACGCCTCTACGAACAAGGATGGCCGGAGAACCTCGTACGCTGGGTCTCAAGTTTTGTTACCGGAAGGAGAGCAAGAATAAGGCTTGATAGGGAGGTAGGAGACGTCTTCGGTCTCGAATACGGACTACTATAAGGCTCACCCGTGTCTCCTATTCTGTTTATACTCTATATTAAACCTTTTTTCAAGCTAGGCATAGCTCGCCTAAGAAGGAAGCGATCTCGTTTTGGCTACGCCGATAACGTTGCTATCTTAGCAAGTTTAATATTACTAGAGAATAACTATAAAATCCTAACTAAGGAATGGAAAGAAACCTTAGGATGGGGCGCGACGGAAGGAATCACTTTTAACCTCGATAAGTCCGAACTGATCTACTTTACCAAGAGACAAAAAGACGGAAACCTATTAATCATAGTAGGTTTACCGGATGGGAGGTATCATATAGTTTAGGCTATTAAAGAAGGCTCTTCTCTACGCTGGCTCGGCGTTCACTTCGACCGTAAACTCACATTCAAGAGTCACGTAAGAAACCTCTCTATAAAAGCATACTAAGTAGTTAATAGACTACGGGGACTAGGGAACACTATCTAGGGCGCGCCTACGTACTTACTTCGTCGAGCGATCACCTCTTGTATATTACCTACTTAGTACTATGCATCTAAAGTATGGTGGCCCGGCAAGAGCCGGATAAAGAATGGACGTACTATCTTAAACGGGGTTGGTAGTCTGCTACACTAACTGGACGCGACGTAAACCAAAGCTATTAGAGCGATGGTCCCCGTATACAGAACTACGCCTATACCGATCCTACAGCGCGAGGCGGCTCTACCCCCAGCAGAGGTGATACTGGACGCGAAGCTCCACACAGCGTCCACCAGAATCCATCGTCTGGACGAGCGACACCCTCTCCGAACGAGACTCAGGGACAAATCAGGACCAGACTCACAGCTACGACGAATAGCAAGCCTCGTAAGCAAAAATACCGAATACATCGATCCGTTAGAACTCCCCCCTTGGGAGCAACTAGCGGACTGGCAGACAGCCCTCGCCAGGGTCGGCTACGAACCTAATAAGACCAAAGAAGAACAGGCCCTCTCCTTTGTAGGCAGGATGGCAACTTTCTCTAAGCGGGATATTGTTGTCTATACTGATGGGTCCCAGATGTCGGACGGCAGCAGTACCTCCGCCGGAGCAGGCTGGGTAGGGTACCAAGCTATACGGCAGATCTTCTGCGGATTCGAACCACTCGGCTCCTAGACTGAGGTGTATGACGCGGAGGTATATGCTGCGTATTACGGCCTGATAGAAGCTACCCGGGCTCCTACGGC